GTCAGGGGGGTTACAGGGCCCTTATGGGGTCAGCATTTGATTTGGGGGTGTAGGACATGACAGCAGGGGCCCCCAACAGAGCCCAGGAGCTGTGAGCTCGCTGCCCCACATCCCCCATTGCTGCCCCCCACCCCTACCTGGGGGTGCAGGGTGCCCAGCAGAGCATCCAGCTGCATATCCAGGCTGCGGCTGCCGATGTCCACAGAAGCTTCCAGGATCTGACAGAGGCTCTGGAATCAGAGTGGAGGGGGGAAGAACTGAGAACTCACACTTGGAAGGAGGGTCCCTTCCTCAGCGCTGCAGGAGGGGACCAGAGCCGGGGGGGGGGGGGGGGGGGGGGGCAGAGGGGGCCCAGGCTGACCCCCCCCCCACAGCTCCCACCAGTGGGGGACAGCCACACGGCGTGGCAGATGGGACCGTGCACGGATTGAGCCCGGTGTTGGGATGGGATGATCTCAGGGCAACGCGCTCTCGGGGCATTTCCCATCGCTTCCCCCGCGGCCACACGCAGCTCCGTGCTCACCTTGGAGATGTAGAAGGACTCCGTGTGCTTCTTGTAGAGGGACAGGACGGCCGGGATCAGCTTTGGGAGCTGCTCCTCCAGCTTCTCGCCGGGCATCAGGTAGCTCATGGCTCCCAGAGCCTCCACCACTGCCAGCCGGAGCTGCGGGGGATAACGAGCGTTAATGAGGGCAGGGTGGATCCTGCACAGAATCAGAGACTCCGTAACTTTGAGCCAAAAGGATCAGCAGATCCAACCCCAACACGACGTGGCCCCAAAGTCCAACCCCAACCCACCCCGTTGTGAGTCCTAATTAGAACCACAGAGTCATTCAGGTTGGAAGAGACCTCCAAAGTTCCCCAGTCCAAACCCGACCTTCCCCATCGTGACCCTAAATAGAATCACGGAGTCCTTAAGGTTGAAAGACACCTCCAGGATCCCCCATCCAACCCCAAACCATCCCCATCGTGACCCTAAACAGACCAATAGAATCAGTAAGGTTGGAAAAGACCTCCAGGATCACCCGGTCCAACCCCAACCCACCCCACTGCAACCCCAAATACAACCATAGAATCGTTAAGGTTGAAGAGAACTCCAGGACCCACAGCTCCAACCCCAACCCATCCCACCACGACCCTAAATACAACCACAGCATCATTCAAGTTGGAGAAGATCAACAAGATCATCCAGTCCAACCCCAATCCACCCACACCACGACCCTAAACAGAAGCACAGAGCCATCAATGAAGGAAAAGAGCTTCTAGATCCCCA